ACACCTTTTTGCCTTAGCTCAGGGAGGAGGACTCCAGAGCCAACTAATTTATGCAGCAGCCAAATCGCTCACTCACAACTTGAATGCCAGTCGCTCACCAAGTAGCATTTCTGCTCACAACGCAGTGTTCCCTCTAAGCTGAGTTAGTGTGAGCCGGCTCACCGTTGTTTAGCCTCGGGCTCACACGTTTTCGTCTCAGCTCAGGAAGGACGGCTCCGGAGCCAGCCAAGTCATGCCGTAGCCAAATCGCCCGCTCACGGCTTTAATGTTAGTCGCTCACAAAGGAGAATCGTCAGTCTGATCGGTTCAGTAGTCTTTGGCCTTTGCCTCACGGCTCTTTGGATTTTTTCCCTCAGTTTTTGCTTTTTTCTTAGTATTTCTTTCTTTGTTCTTGATAAAATAAAATAAAAAAGTTGTTTTTTGTTTAGGGGGGAGTTTTCCTCAGTTTGGCCTTTGGGCCCCCCCCCCCAAAAAAAAACCCTTCTTGGTCTCTAAGATGGTACTGGGCTGGAATGTCGTTGTCCTACTGCAATCTGACACGTCTATCCAGAGGGAAATTCTCCCCATTCTATTTGCTGGGGAACAGTCCCGGCCCATTTGCCCTATTCCTACCCAGAGGGAAAGTCTCCTTCCTGCAAACAGTGCCCCCAAAGCAGTGTTCCCTCTAAGCCGAGTTAGTGTGAGCTAGCTCACAGTTTTTTAGCCTCCGGCTCACACATTTTTGTCTCAGCTCAGGAAGGGACGGCTCCAGGGCAAAGTTTCCTCTAAGCTGTGGAGTTGTGTGAGCAAAAATTCTACTTTGTGGGCTACTGGCATTAAAGTTGTGAGCAAGTGACTTGGCTACTGCATAAATTAGTTGGCTCTGGAGCCGTCCCTTCCTGAGCGGAGACAAAAATGTGCGCGCCGGAGGCTAAAAAACTGTGAGCCGGCTCACACTAACGCAGCTTAGAGGGAACACTGCTCCAGAGCCAACTGATTGATGCAGCAGCCAAATCGCCCGCTCACAACTTTAATGCCAGCAGCTCGCAAAGTAGAATTTTTGCTCATGAGACTCCACAGCT